CGGATCACCCTCATATAGCTGGAATACTGCTGAGTGCGGCGTAAAACAACAGGCAAAACAAATAAACAAACAAAAGTAGTAGTAGGAGAAGTGATGACAGTATACGTAGTAGTTGTAGTAACGGCGGTAGTAGGAGTAGAAGTAGCAGCATTAGTAGTAGTAGCCGTATTAGTTATTAATAATACTTATATAATCAACAGCAGAAGCATCACATTTGGCATTATCGGCGGTTTTAGCTCTATTAGTAGGTGTAGCAGTTTTATCTGAGTAGCATTAGTAGCAGTTTTAGCTGTATTAGTAGGTTTAGCAGTTTTATCTGAGTAGCAGTAGTAGCAGTTTTAGCTGTATTAGTAGGTTTAGCAGTTTTATCTGAGTAGCAGTAGTAGCAGTTTTATCTGAGTAGCAGTAGTAGCAGTTTTATCTGAGTAGCAGTAGTAGCGGTTTTACCTGTGTAGCAGTAGTAGCAGTTTATCTGAGTAGCAGTAGTAGCAATTTTTATCTGAGTAGCAGTTTTATCTAAGTAGCAGTGGTAGCAGTTTTATCTGAGTAGCAATAGAAGCAGTTCTATCTGACTAGCAGTAGTAGCAGTTTTATCTGAGTAGCAGTAGTAGCAGTTTTATCTGAGTAGCAGTAGTAGCAGTTTTTTTTGAGTAGCAGTAGTAGCAGTTTTATCTGTGTAGCAGTAGTAGCAGTTTATCTGAGTAGCAGTAGAAGCAGTTTTATCTGAGTAGCAGTAGTAGCAGTTTTATCTGTGTAGTAGTAGAAGCAGTTTTATCTGAGTAGCAGTAGAAGCAGTTTTATCTTAGTAGCAGTAGTAGCAGTTTTATCTGTGTAGCAGTAGTAGCGGTTTTATCGGAGTAGCAGTATTAGCAGTTTTATCTGAGTAGCAGTAGTGGCAGTTTTGTATATCGTAATAGTAGTAACAGTTTTATCTATGGTAGCAATTGTATGGGTTTTAGCTTTTGCAGCATTTATGAGTGTTTTATCAACAATAGTTGCATCGAAGTAGCTTTATCATCAAATGCAGCATACATGCTAGTTGTTGTAGCGTCAATAGTAGCGGTGGAGCGCAGGTGCGCCGGCAGTAACATGTATGGTTGCATATAGGATCCAGTTGTCTACGATGCAATTACACCACGGAAACCACCTGGGACACAAGGCCAGGCTACAGATAATCATTTCTGATGACACCTCCAAGATACGAAGCGCTTGCCCCAGCACTCCAACCAACAGATCATATTCCTCATGAGCATTTAAAAATAACAATATGTCCGACTAACATCAACAAAGTTATTTTCAGCATGCTCCTCTGTCATCAAAATAACGCTCAGTGGCCCTATTTACTCCTCGGGACTAGGCTGTGAGTAGTTTCAACAAGACAAATGCATTACCCTGTGTTTAAGGGTGTACACTGAGGTGTGAGGCCAGAACTCCCTATGGGGTAGGACAATCTCGCGGCCGTCACACCCCCTTGTCCCAGGACAATTATAAGTAATTTAATGGGTTTGATGAAACCAGGTCGTGATAGTCACGTGCGCCTAATACTACAACTGAAACGTTACTTTGATGACTAATTTTTGAAAGCTCATGAATTGTTGAATCTGGTCACTGGCTGGCTGTTCTGGATTGTCATCGCACCCGATGTACTGCTGATAGTGTATTTTGGGATAACTCTCTTAGTTTCGGCTCGAGTTTCACGAAGTCTTAGACGCCTGAGTGAGTGAGTGAGTGAGTGAGTGAGTGAGTGAGTGAGTGAGTGAGTGAGGTTTCACAGTATTCCAGACCCGTGAAGACCCGTGAAGATCAGCACTTGCCGTAAAAGGCGACTATGCTTGTCGTAAGAGTCGACTAACGGGATCGGGTGGTCAGGCTCGCTGATTGGGTTGGGGCATGTCATCGTATCCCATTTGTGTAGATCGATGTTCAGGATGTCAATCACTGGATTGTCTGGTCCAGACTCTATTATTTACAGACCGCCGTCATACAGCGGGAATATTGTTGAATGCAGCGTTAAACAACAAACAAACAAACAAACACTCACGTTAATCACAAGAAGTTTTTTTTCTCTGAAATGTCAGGGCATGATCACAAAACACATGATGCGCCCATAAAATCTACATAATTGGGATACGACGACGTGCATCAACCAAGTCAGCGAGCATGACCACCCGATCCCGTTAGTTCTGCACAGAGAATTGTGGCACCTTAATCATCTCGGCCATCCTTACCCTGATGGCGATGGCGCGAAGAAGATTTCTTTGAGAAGGAATTGCAGCATTTACCAACTTTACCAACTCTGTATATGGAATGCATTAAGAGGTTTCGGTCTTACGTGTGGTACTTTTAGCAATCGCCAACCACACATATAAACAGAGGGGCTAAGGAAACTATACCTCTCAGTTACTTTTATCATATGTTTGATTTTAAGTTGAAAGTTAGAAATTTATTATTAAATACATGAAGTATACTGGCGCCTAGTCAATACTACATGTAAAAGAGTACTTCATCATGGTATATTTTACAACATATGTAATGTAGTTTGATTTAAAAAATTAAAAAATTTAAAAAATAAATCCGAACAACTGCTAATGGGTATCTTAGACATCTTATCTTTGAAAAATCAATAAATTTGTTTTTCGGCACAAATTTCAAACATATGGTTGCAATTTCATTTCTTAACCAAGTCTTCATTGAACCAGTTTTACACAAAATTACCCAGCCACAGATTAATTTTTACCAACTATTGTAGGGATGTGTGATGGTTAAATAGACATATTCAAAGATAACAACAGTTCTTTCAAAATTTATAAAACAAACAGACATCGACATCAACTTCTGCATACTTTCTTTTGCCCCTCTGTTTACTTCACACATTGTGGGAGAGCGGAAGGTCCGTGGTTCGATTCCCGGAAGATGGTACTTGTTGTTACCCTGTCTGGCGCTCGGCATTAAGGGGCTAAAACAAGGACTGGTCGGCTCGGAGTCAGTATACTGTGTCTGAGTGGGGTATTCATGTTAAACTGCGGCATGGTATCTCAGTGAGCTAGCACTATAAATCGGCATCAGTCCGGACTAGTACAAGCAGCCACACACACACGTGCATGCACGTCGCTATATAAGTGCAATAATCTTGGGTGAGACGTTAAACCCAATTTCACCTCACCTCACACATTGTGCCCTTCACGGAGAGTCCAACGCACCAACGTTCCAACAACTATACTGCCTGTCTCGGTCTCACTCGCTCGCTCAATGGCTCCGATCCTAGTGCATTAATGAATCCATTATATAACATAATGCACGACAATAAATGAGTCAATATATAACTGTTCTCTAAATATTTATTCACATTTTCTTACATTTCATTAATTTTATTACACGTATTTTATAACTGAAAACGGAGAGATATATAAGCAACATATATATAAGGTTGCGAGTTACATCAGTAGTATATATGAAAAAGCTAAGACATATATATATAATTTTTTTAGTTACATATATAAAGCAGAATAGTGTATTGGTTACACGTGTATAAATGACTAAATAAAAATATTTTGGTATATTTTTATATATTGTTTATCGTATTTTTCTTTTCTTTTTTTTTAGTAGAGTTTTCACAAAACACCGTACAAACCATATATATGTTTTTACCCTAAAGGGTTGATATTAAAAGAAAATGTTTTTCCCCATTTTGATTGTTTGTTTTTTGCATTAGTTGTGAATTTGACAATGTAAACAATAGAAGCAAAACATACTAAATCTTTTTGGGGGAACATTGTTGCCCAGGTTTTTTTTCTTATTTTTCAGTTTTAATAGTTATTTAACTGTTTTTGTTGTTCATTTTTTACAACATAAACAAAATAACAAATTTGTATTCTTTTTTAACGCCGCATATTCTTTTTTAATATTTTGCTGGCGAGGTTTCCAACAAACACACAGCCATATCAAGCCATGACAAAAGTAAAAAAAATAATGAAGACAAACAACAAAAATCAGACAAAAAACGTCAAATCACAATTACTGACAGTGAGCCCTCATCACATTGAGGTACAGGCAATTCAAGTCAGTTGTGACCCTTCATCACATTGAGGTACAGGCAATTCAAGTCAGTTGTGACCCTTCATCACATTGAGGTACAGGCAATTCAAGACAGTTGTGACCCTTCATCACATTGAGGTACAGGCAATATAAGACAGTTGTGACCCTTCATCACATTGAGGTACAGGCAACACATGCCAGTTGTGATCCTTCATCACATTGAGGTACAGGCAACACAAGGCAGTTGTGATCCTTCATCACATTGAGGTACAGGCAACACAAGGCAGTTGTGACCCTTCATTACATTGAGGTACAGGCAACACAAGGCAGTTGTGATCCTTCATCACATTGAGGTACAGGCAACACAAGGCAGTTGTGATCCTTCATCACATTGAGGTATAGGCAGCACAAGGCAGTTGTGATCCTTCATCACATTGAGGTGCAGGCAATTCAAGACAGCTGTGACCCTTCATCACATTGAGGTACAGGCAACACAAGGCAGTTGTGATCCTTCATCACATTGAGGTATAGGCAGCACATTGGAGCAGTGACACTTTATCACATTGAGGTATTGGCAGCACATAGGAGCAGTGACACTTCATCACATTGAGGTACAGGCAACACAAGGCAGTTGTGATCCTTCATCACATTGAGGTACAGGCAACACAAGGCAGTTGTGACCCTTCATCACATTGAGGTGCAGGCAACACAAGTCAGTTGTGACCCTTCATCACATTGAGGTATAGGCAACACAAGTCAGTTGTGATCCTTCATCACATTGGGGTACAGGCAACACAAGGCAGTTGTGATCCTTCATCACATTGAGGTACAGGCAACACAAGGCAGTTGTGATCCTTCATCACATTGAGGTACAGGCAACACAAGGCAGTTGTGATCCTTCATCACATTGAGGTACAGGCAACACAAGGCAGTTGTGATCCTTCATCACATTAAAGTACAGGCAATATAAGACAGTTGTGACCCTTCATCAAATTGAGGAACAGGCAGCACAAGACAATTGTGATCCTTCATCACATTGAGGTACAGGCAGCACATAGGAGCAGTGACACTTCATCACATTGAGGTACAGGCAGCACAAGACAGTTGTGATCCTTCATCACATTGAGGTACAGGCCACACAAGGCAGTTGTGACCCTTCATCAAATTGAGGTATAGGCAGCACAAGGCAGTTGTGACCCTTCATCACATTGAGGTACAGGCAACACAAGTCAGTTGTGATCCTTCATCACATTGAGGTACAGGCAACACAAGGCAGTTGTGATCCTTCATCACATTGAGGTACAGGCAACACAAGGCAGTTGTGATCCTTCATCACATTGAGGTACAGGCAACACAAGGCAGTTGTGATCCTTCATCACATTGGGGTACAGGCAACACAAGGCAGTTGTGATCCTTCATCACATTGAGGTACAGGCAACACAAGACAGTTGTGATCCTTCATCACATTGAGGTATAGGCAACAGAAGGCAGTTGTGATCCTTCATCACATTGAGGTACAGGCAGCACAAGGCAGTTGTGATCCTTCATCACATTGAGGTGCAGGCAATTCAAGACAGTTGTGACACTTCATCACATTGAGGTACAGGCAATTCAAGACAGCTGTGACCCTTCATCACATTGAGGTACAGGCAACACAAGTCAGTTATGATCCTTCATCACATTGAAGAACAGGCAATCTAAGACAGTTGTGATCCTTCATCACATTGAGGTACAGGCAATTCAAGTCAGTTGTGACCCTTCATCACATTGAGGTACAGGCAACACAGTAATTATCATCACATATAGGGAGATTCAACAGGTGACAATAATGTTCTTTACCAACGTAAATATTGGGGGCAAATACATATTATTATTATCCAACAACACATTCAATAATAGCAGCAGCTGCAATATAGCCGCCTTTCAATGCTCATTGTTACCATTTGGCAATGCAATATACAATCCTGGCCACAATATTTTTTTGTATTTTGTATTTTGTATTTTTTTGTATTATTTCTTGACTCACTAAACCGGAAGCAAAATCTACAATAAAAACTTAAATAACATATGTCTGTAATATTGGCGTCCATTCATCCCAATAAGGATTTCATGTGACAGCACTGTTCTTTGATGACTAGAGATACATAATTCATATGATAGGCTGTTCTTTGATCACATAAATATACATATTTCTTATGAAAGCGCTGTTCCCTGATCACACAGAGGTACAGGCAACACATGGTAGTTACTTCATCACATGCCACAGTGCACATTGGTCACTGATCAGCGACCGTGCTATAACGTTGGTCTTTCACATAATCCTGGTGCTTGGTGTAAGCTAACCTGGCCAGACGAAGACAAATGCTACTCACATTTTATATCATCAGTTCATCATGCCTTTTCTGGTCACACTGTGGGAGCCTTTGACAAGCTGATCCCCAGCGGCCGCTGATGCAGATGTGTGTGTATACTACAGGCGCTTACACATACATTGTAAGGAGGGCCAATAATCACATAACAGACAAAAAATACTGACAATCAGGTGAATGGGACAATCAATGCAAATACAATGACAAAAACAATAAAGCAAGCTGGAATACTGTCGATGGTGCTGAACAACAAGACTAACATATGATTTTCTTTTCGAGATTAGAATGATAGTTTACAAGAATGTTAATCAAGTGAAGAATACAGCTTTACGCCACTGTCAGAACTTTCCCAACTACATGACGGCGGTCTGGGGCGTAATCGAGTCTGGACCAGACAATCCAGGGTCGGTAGTGCGTGCAACGATCCATTTCGTCGAGGTACGATGACACACATCGATTACGTCACAGCTGAGCGGATATTCGTCCTCGGTTGTCACCAAGCCGAGGGCATGTGATCCCTGCTCAGCGGCCATTGTGACACCTGATACCCGTTTTAATCGTCTTACACGACAAGCATGGGCACAGGGGTAGTCCAGCACCCGTGTCGACAGGAAGGAGTTGCTTCTATCATAGTTTTCAAAAGACGCCCCAAAAATACTTTGACTGCAGAGCGCGTCTTGCTGTAATACGCCCTGATGGATTGAGATCTAAGCATCGTTTGACAAGATTCACGACGTTGCTGTCTATGTTTTTCAAAGCTGCGAAATCCGGTCCCTTGTAGAAAAATGACATTCTACTTATAAGATCATGTTTGATAGGGAATGGGAATTTTCCCGTTAGGGCTTCGTAGATGGTCACACCGGTACTCCATACATCAAACGATCTTGCCCAGGTGTCTCGTGTGGCACGCATGTCCTCAGTATGTACTTCCGGTGGGGCGTAGACGGGCGTATAGAAGGTAGGCAGCCTGTATTCTGGTTTCTGCACTTCTGTCAGCTTAAGTGCCCCACCGAAGTCAATTATTTTTACCGTATGCTTTGGGCCTATGAGGATGTTATCCGGCTTGATGTCTCTGTGGACTATATTTTGACGGTGGAGATATCTGAGGGCTGAAAAGACCTGTTTTGCAATGGTTTTGAGATACTTCTGCCTCCATCTGACAGAATGATTTGAAATGAAATAATCCATGTCATATCCTTTGACCAACTCCATGATCATAATCATCCTACCTGCATGTCGGAACAGTTCGTAGGCTTTGATGATATTATGATGGTTCAAAGATGTTAAGATGTTAAATTCATTCTCCCACGTTTCTTTAACGAAGCCATCACGGTGGCACTTCATCATAGAAACCTTTGCTGCGTACAACACCCCGTCCTTCTTCACCCGATATACTACTGCAGCACCACCTGAACTGATGAGTGATTCGAAGTGATACCCGTTGATGAGCTGGCCAGTGAAGTTCGGTTCTGGAATGTCATCAGGAGGGCGGGGCGTCTTGACTGCGAAGGTCTTCCCCGTGTCAGGCTTCCCGTGAGCTGATGGAGTCTTCCCTTGGCCTGGAACAGGCACGTGAACTGATGGTGTCTTCCCTCGGCCTGGATCAGGAACGTGAACTGATGGAATTTTCCGTCGGGCTGGAGCAGGCACGTGAGCTGATGGAGTATTCCCTCGGGCTGGAGCAGGCACGTGAGCTGATGGAGTCTTCCCTCGGGTTGGAGCAGGCACGTGAGCTAATGGAGTCTTCCCTCGGGCTGGAGAAGGCACGTGGACAGATGGAGTCTTCCCTCGGGCTAGATCAGGCATGTGAGCTAATGGAGTCTTCCCTCGGACTGGAGAAGGCATGTGAACAGATGGAGTCTTCCCTCGGGCTGGAGAAGGCATGTGAACAGATGGAGTCTTCCCTCGGGCTGGAGCAGGCACGTGAACAGATGGAGTCTTCCCTCGGGCTAGATCAGGCATGTGAGCTAATGGAGTCTTCCCTCGGGCTGGAGAAGGCACGTGAACAGATGGAGTCTTCCCTCGGGCTGGAGCAGGCACGTGAACAGATGGAGTCTTCCCTCGGGCTCGAGCAAGTTCGTGAACAGGACTCTTCCATCGGGTTGGTGTGGATCCGTGAACGGATGGACGCTTTTCACGTGTTGGAGTAGACTCTTGAATTGATGGACTCTTCACACTTGTGGGAGTGTGTCCATGAACTGATGGACTCTTTTCACGTGATGGACTGGACACGTGAATGGATGGACTTCTCTCTCTTGTGGGAGTGTGTCCATGAACTGATGGACTCTTTTCACGTGATGGAGTTGGTCCGTGAATGGATGGACTCTTCTCTCTTGTTGGAGTGCGTCGGTGAATTGATGGAGTCTTCTCACTTGTTGGAGTGGGCCCGTGAACCGATGAACTCTCATCAGGTGTTGGAGATGGACTCTTCCATGGAGCTAGAGAGTGCTCGTCAGATGATGAGTTTTCCACCGATGGTTCAAGCTGATGGTCAGATGGTGCTTCCCCTTGTGGCTCATCAGGCTTTTGAGCAGGTGATCCCAGCTCTTGAGGAGGGGCCCTCTTCTTAACGTCATCAACAGATTTGTCACCACTCGGGGCTGATGAATGAACAGATGGGCTTAGGATATTATCCACCTGTTCCCCAGAAGAATTGAAATAGGATCCCCAAGTTTCAGCCGCAACATTGTGGGGACCGGGTGTCTTGGACAGGAACCTCGTACGTGAACCTGGAAAGGAAGTATATGCAAGCTACAGGGTAAGCATGATTGCGGTGTTGGGGACATTCTTATAAACATTTAACTGAGGCCGAAACCAAAAATAAAACATGCCTCGTTTGCCTCATGCCCTACTCAATGAAAAGGATGGGTAACTCTGCGAAGTATATTACATTTGGGCTCAAATACATCTATCTTTGGTCCACGTTCACCCACCCTTCCACTACAATTTAATCACATGTCCACATGGATTACTTTTTGACTATCATTTAATATGTTTCTATGAAAAAGTTTCTCAATGTGTTTCTATGACTTATATGATCAGGGGTTGATATTCAAGGGCATCATGATTCGGGGAACAACAAATATGTCGCAGAAATTTGAAATCTGGTTGTACTGAGTGAGTGAATGTTGATTAACGTCGCAGTCGATTCTATATAACTGCGGCCTGTAAACAATCGCGAATGGACAAACCATAGGTTGATACAAGTCACAGAGAAACAGCATTTCTGTATCTCCGGTTTCATGTTTCAATTTGACTCGTGCAAATATTATATAAAAGATGTTGATAATAACATCACTAATTCTTTTCAAACTATTGCATATTTCAATATATTCGTCTGTGAAAAACATTATTAATCTGACAAATATAAAATTGATATTTCACTGGAGTATACTAATGTTTTTTTCAAATAAGATAATTGATATCGTTAAGAAAATACAACATTAATAGAACATTTATATTTCCTCGTCAAATACCATGCTTATCACAACGATTTACCTGAAAACGCTGATATTATTTTCATGTAGAAATACTAAATGTATGTTATTAAAACGGCGTGGAAAATATTATTACAATTTTCCCATGACTTCTTGTTGCAAAACCCCAGTGAAGAAATGGACACAATAGCATCTCTATATTACAAGCTCCTGATAATAAAACAAATGGACCAACTGGGGGTCGAACTGTATGTACATCCCACACAATAAAGGACTGATGAATCTCCACATCAAGTTTATGATGCGAATGGAGTGGTCTCCCCTTGAGAGAGTGAACAAAAATGGCTGCCACTACCGTAACGTTTGAAATCTTCAGTGGAGGATAATTCCTAGATCTACAGTATACAGCTTTAGACATGCCGATTAAGTAAGCGATTGTGACCTGTTGTTGAAAGGCGAGTGAAGCCTAAAGTTCATGTTTGTTTTGTTGAGGTCGAAACTATCTGCTTGACACTTTGCAGAGGCTGTGGGAAGACGTTGACCATGTTGACGTTTCACATAACCGCCTAAACCGTCGTTTACGCTGTTGTTCTCGATCTTGTTTTGTTGTTACCATTGCTTTGTACCCTGGGTACATTTCGACAAGTTTACTTTAACCCAGTTTGTTATCCCGTCTAATGAAATGTAGAGTTACTGCAATTTAACATGTTGCTCGTTGTAGGCTAGAGTTTTCTGTTTGTGCGTAGTACTTTTATAATATATTGTGTAGGCTTATCTCTTTGGTTTGCAGTTACAAAGGTGCACAATAGACCTATATCCTGACGATACGATTTGCACTTGGTGCATGACTTTCAAACATGGAGATAGATCTCTATATCGAAATATAAGTATAACTAATAATGATTGTGTAGTTTGGTATTTCACTGATAACAGGACCAATTGCATACAAACAGAGTTTAATACTCAGTTTGGGGTAATGTTTCATCACGTGAATGTGAAGTCCTGATTGAAATATCTATTGATAGACATTTTGCTAGTGTCTAACATCAAAATATAATTATATTATGTGTATCAGTCTCGCAGGTAATCATGACTACCCTAATTACCCACAGACACTGTCTCATTGTCACACATTAAAAATAAAATATAACTGTGTGATGTGTAGTTTATTAATGCTGATCTTAATATACAGTGTCACAGTGTCTTAAGTGTATGAAGTGTGAATATATCAGTATATACCTTAAAGAGTAGGGACCGACCATTTGATATTCTGGGGTGGTGGTGGTGGAATTTTGTTTGAAGACTTTTCAGACTTTTTTTGAGAATTTTCTTGGGCCATTATTATTTAAATTAAACCACAGTGCCACCACTAAAACCACTAAACCATATACTGGTATATTCCTTGATACAACTCTGTGTAATCTTTCGCACTATATATTATCAATAATATCATTATTGCAGGTCAATGTATGTTTTTATATATGTATTTATGTATGTACATTGTATATTGTACATATTCAATATATCATGATATATACTTATATGTATAATTTAACAGTGAGAGACAATGTTCTCAATCATATTGACAATACAATTTGTTGAAACAAAACCTACAAAACAGACATTGTATTATTTTCAAACAAGTGACAAGCATTTTATAGTGTGTAAAACTAGGGTTTTATGTGGTATTCAAATCCAGCAGTTAGAGATTACCCTAATTGCACACAGACAATATCTCAGCATTACATATGAAACTAACAGTCCAAACAGATACATGATTATTGAGGTGAGGTGACAGATGCCAATTTTATAGTGCCCACTGAGATACCATGCCGCAGTTCAACATGAATACCCCACTCAGACACAGTATACTCACTCCGAGCTGACCAGTCCTTGTTTTAGCCCCGAGGTGGGGTAACAACATGTACCATCCTTTAACGTCTTCTTGTATGATGCGGCCAGGGATTGAACCAGAAGTGACCACAGAGGTGGCCACATGATTATTACCCTAATTACACAAAGATGTGTCTCCACAGAGGACTTAAACTAAAGTTTTATTATTTATAGTTTATCAAACAAGCAGTTAATTAATTAAACAGAGACACTGTCTCTGACTCTCAGCATAGCACATTAAACTATATTTTATGTGGTGTGGTATATCATACAAGCAGTTAATTATCACCCTTATTACACAGACACATTATATCAGCATAGAACATTAAACTATAGTTTTGTATTGCATAGTATATGAAATAAGTAGTTAATCTTTCCTTTAATAACAAAGACAGTGTCTCAGCATAGCACATTAGGCTGTAGTTTTATGATGAATAGCATATCTAACTAGCTGTTTGTCATTATTATCACTGCACAGAAACAATGTCTCAGCATAGCACATTAGGCTGTAGTTTTATGATGAATAGCATATCTAACCAGCAGTTGGTCATTACTATCACTGCACAGAAACAATGTCTCAGCATAACACATTAGACTGTAGTTTTATGATGAATAGCATATCTAACTAGCAGTTTGCCATTACTATCACTGCACAGAAACAATGTCTCAGCATAACACATTAGACTGTAGTTTTATGATGAATAGCATATCTAACTAGCTGTTAGTTATACCTATCACTGCACAGAAACAATGTCTCAGCGTAGCACATAAGACTGTAGTTTTATGATGAATAGCATATCTAACTAGCTGTTAGTCATAACTATTACTGCACAGAAACAATGTCTCAGCATAGCACATTAGGCTGTAGTTTTATGATGAATAGCATATCTAACTAGCTGTTAGTCATAACTATCACTGCACAGAAACAATGTCTCAGCATAGCACATTAGGCTGTAGTTTTATGATGAATAGCATATCTAACTAGCAGTTTGTCATTACTATCACTGCACAGAAACAATGTCTCAGCATAGCACATAAGACTGTAGTTTTATGATGAATAGCATATCTAACTAGCAGTTTGTCATTACTATCACTGCACAGAAACAATGTCTCAGCATAGCACATTAGACTGTAGTTTTATAATGAATAGCATGTCTAACTAGCAGTTTGCCATTTCTATCACTGCACAGAAACAATATGTCAGCAAAGCACATTAGACTGTAGTTTTATGATGAATAGCATAGCATATCTAACTGGCAGTTTGTCATTACTATCACTGCACAGAAACAATGTCTCAGCATAGCACATTAGACGGTAGTTTTATGATGAATAGAATAGCATATCTAACTAGCAGTTTGTCATTAATATCACTGCACAGAAACAATGTCTCAGCATAGCATATTAGACTGTAGTTTTATGATGAATAGCATATCTAACTAGCAGTTTGTCATAGCTATCACTGCACAGAAACAATGTCTCAGCATAGCACATCAGACTGTAGTTTTATGATGAATAGCATATCTAACTAGCAGTTTGTCATTACTATCACTGCACAGAAACAATGTCTCAGCATAGCACATTAGACTGTAGTTTTATGATGAATAGCATATCTAACTAGCAGTTTGTCATTACTATCACTGCACAGAAACAATGTCTCAGCATAGCACATTAGACTGTATTTTTATGATGAATAGCATATCTAACCAGCAGTTTGTCATTACTATCACTGCACAGAAACAATGTCTCAGCATAGCACATTAGACTGTATTTTTTTATGATGAATACCATAGCATATCTAACTAGCAGTTTGTCAGTACTATCACTGCACAGAAACAATGTCTCAGCATAGCACATTAGACTGTAGTTTTATGATGAATAGCATATCTAACTAGCTGTTAGTTATACCTATCACTGCACAGAAACAATGTCTCAGCATAGCACATAAGACTGTTGTTTTATGATGAATAGCATATCTAACTAGCTGTTAGTCATAACTATTACTGCACAGAAACAATGTCTCAGCATAGCACATTAGACTGTAGTTTTATGATGAATAGCATATCTAACTAGCAGTTTGCCATTACTATCACTGCACAGAAACAATGTCTCAGCATAGCACATTAGACTGTAGTTTTATGATGAATAGCATATCTAACTAGCTGTTAGTCATAACTATCACTGCACAGAAACAATGTCTCAGCATAGCACATTAGGCTGTAGTTTTATGATGAATAGCATATCTAACTAGCAGTTTGTCATTACTATCACTGCACAGAAACAATGTCTCAGCATAGCACATAAGACTGTAGTTTTATGATGAATAGCATATCTAACTAGCAGTTTGTCATTACTATCACTGCACAGAAACAATGTCTCAGCATAGCACATTAGACTGTAGTTTTATAATGAATAGCATATCTAACTAGCAGTTTGCCATTTCTATCACTGCACAGAAACAATATGTCAGCAAAGCACATTAGACTGTAGTTTTATGATGAATAGCATAGCATATCTAACTGGCAGTTTGTCATTACTATCACTGCACAGAAACAATGTCACAGCATAGCACATTAGACGGTAGTTTTATGATGAATAGAATAGCATATCTAACTAGCAGTTTGTCATTAATATCACTGCACAGAAACAATGTCTCAGCATAGCATATTAGACTGTAGTTTTATGATGAATAGCATATCTAACTAGCAGTTTGTCATAGCTATCACTGCACAGAAACAATGTCTCAGCATAGCACATTAGACTGTATTTTTTTATGATGAATAGCATATCTAACTAGCAGTTTGCCATTACTATCACTGCACAGAAACAATGTCTCAGCATAGCACATTAGACTGTAGTTTTATGATGAATAGCATAGCATATCTAACTAGCAGTTTGTCAGTACTATCACTGCACAGAAACAATGTCTCAGCATAGCACATTAGACTGTAGTTTTATGATGAATAGCATATCTAACTAGCAGTTTGTCATTACTATCACTGCACAGAAACAATGTCTCAGAATAGCACATAAGACTGTAGTTTTATGATGAATAGCATAGCATATCTAACTAGCAGTTTGTCATTACTACCACTGCACAGAAACAATGTCTCAGCATAGCACATTAGACTGTAGTTTTATTATAAATAGCATATCTAACTGGCAGTTTGCCATTACTTTCACTGCACAGAAACAATGTCTCAGCATAGCACATAAGACTGTAGTTTTATTATAAATAGCATATCTAACCAGCAGTTTGTCATTACTACCACTGCACAGAATCAATGTCTTAGCATAGCACATAAGACTGTAGTTTTATGATGAATAGCATATCTAACCAGCAGTTTGTCATTACTATCACTGCACAGAAACAATGTCTCAGCATAGCATATTAGACTGTAGTTTTATGATGAATAGCATGTCTAACTAGCAGTTTCCCATTACTATCACTGCACAGAAACAATGTCTCAGCGTAGCACATAAGACTGTAGTTTTATTATAAATAGCATAGCATATCTAACTAGCAGTTTGTCATTTCTACCACTGCACAGACACAATGTCTCAGCAAACCACATTAGACTGTAGTTTTATGATGAATAGCATATCTAACTAGCAGTTTATCATTACTATCACTGCACAGAAACAATGTCTTAGCATAGCACATCAGACTGTAGTTTTATTATAAATAGCATATCTAACTAGCAGTTTGCCATTACTATCACTGCACAGAAACAATGTCTCAGCGTAGCACATAAGACTGTAGTTTTATTATAAATAGCATAGCATATCTAACTAGCAGTTTGTCATTTCTACCACTGCACAGACACAATGTCTCAGCAAAGCACATAAAAATGTAGTTTTATGATGAATAGCATATCTAACTAGCAGTTTGTCATTACTATCACTGCACAGAAACAATGTCTTAGCATAGCACATTAGACTGAAGTTTTATGATGAATAGCATATCTAACCAGCAGTTTATCATTACTATCACTGCACAGAAACAATGTCTCAGCGTAGCACATAAGACTGTAGTTTTATTATAAATAGCATAGCATATCTAACTAGCAGTTTGTCATTTCTACCACTGCACAGACACAATGTCTCAGCAAAGCACATAAAAATGTAGTTTTATGATGAATAGCATATCTAACTAGCAGTTTGTCATTACTATTACTGCACAGAAACAATGTCTCAGCAAAGCACATTAGACTGTAGTTTTATGATGAATAGCATATCTAACTAGCAGTTTGCCATTACTATCACTGCACAGAAACAATGTCTCAGCATAGCACATTAGACTGTAGTTTTATGATGAATAGCATATCTAACTAGCAGTTTGCCATTACTATCACTGCACAGAAACAATGTCTCAGCATAGCACATTAGACTGTAGTTTTATGATGAATAGCATATCTAACTAGCTGTTTGTCATTACTATCACTGCACAGAAACAATGTCTCAGCATAACATATTAGACTATAGTTTTGTGATGTAATCATGTATGGGATATCAAACAAATAGTTAATTATTACTATAATTACACAGACACACTATCCCAGCATAGCACACTAAACTATAGTTTTAAAATGCATAGTATATCAAACTAGCAGTTAATCGTTACTATAATTACACAGACACACTATCCCAGCATAGCACACTAAGCTTTAGTTTTATAATGCATAGTATATCAAACTAGCAGTTAATCGTTACTATAATTACACAGACACACTATCCCAGCATAGCACACTAAACTATAGTTTTACAATGCATAGTATATCAAACAAGCAGTTGATAGGTACTATAATTACACAGAAACACTGTCTCTGACTCTCAGCATAGGACATTAAACTATAGATTGATGTTGTATACTATATCATACAGGCAGTTATCTCACCCCAATTACACAGACACATCATCTCACATTAGCACATTAACACAATTGTTTTATGTACAGCATATCAACAAGCAGTTAATTGTTACTTTAATAACAGAGACACTGTCCCAGCATAGCACATTAGACTATAGTTTTTTGATGTAATCATGTATAGCATATCAAACAATTAGTTAATTATTACTATCATTACACAGACACCCTTTTCCAGCATAGCACACTAAGCTTTAGTTTTATAATGCATAGTATATCAAACTAGCAGTTAATCGTTACTATAATTACACAGACACACTATCCCAGCATAGCACACTAAACTATATTTTTTTAATGCATAGTATATCAAACAAGCAGTTAATAGTTACTATAATTACACAGAGACACTGTCCCAGCATAGCACACTAAACTATAGTTTTATAATGCATAGTATATCAAACTAGCAGTTTATCGTTACTATAATTACACAGACACACTGTCCCAGCATAGCACACTAAACTATAGTTTTATAATGCATAGTATATCAAACAAGCAGTTAATAGTTACTATAATTACACAGAGACACTGTCCCAGCATAGCACACTAAACTATAGTTTTATAATGCATAGTATATCAAACTAGCAGTTTATCGTTACTATAATTACACAGAGACACTGTCCCAGCATAGCACACTAAACTATAGTTTTATAATGCATAGTATATCAAACTAGCAGTTAATAGTTGCTATAATTACACAGACACACTGTCCCAGCATAGCACACTAAACTATAGTTTTATAATGCATAGTATATCAAACTAGCAGTTAATCGTTACTATAATTACACAGACACACTATCCCAGCATAGCACACTAAACTACAGTTTTATAATGCATAGTATATCAAACAAGCAGTTAATAGTTACTATAATTACACACAGACACTGTCCCAGCATAGCACACTAAACTATAGTTTTATAATGCATAGTATATCAAACTAGCAGTTAATCGTTACTATAATTACACAGACACACTGTCCCAGCATAGCGCACTAAACTATAGTTTTATAATGCATAGTATATCAAACTAGCAGTTAATCGTTACTATAATTACACAGACACACTGTCCCAGCATAGCACACTAAACTATAGTTTTATAATGCATAGTATATCAAACAAGCAGTTAATAGTTGCTATAATTACACAGACACACTATCCCAGCATAGCACACTAAGCTTTAGTTTTATAATGCATAGTATATCAAACTAGCAGTTAATCGTTACTATTATTACACAGACACACTATCCAAGCATAGCACACTAAACTATAGTTTTATAATGCATAGTATATCAAACAAGCAGTTAATAGTTGCTATAATTACACAGAGACACTGTCTCTGACTCTCAACATAGGACATTAAACTATAGATTTATGTTGTATACTATATCATACAGCCAGTTATCTCACCCCAATTACACAGACAAATCATCTCACATTAGCAATTAAACTACAATTGTTTCATGTACAGCATATCAACAAGCAGTTAATTATTACTGTAATTACAGAGACACTGTCTTTGACTCTCGGCATAGCACATTAAATGTTAAATTATTTTATGTGGTGTGGTATATCATACAAGCAGTTAATATTTACCCTAATTTACAATGGTGCATTGTTCGGTTTATATTTTATAGTAGGAAAAATCACACATCACATGTCAAAATATACCTATCAGATTGGCAGTTAATGTCCTAATCAGACTGAGACAATGTCTCAGTGTTACATATTAAACTACAGTTGTGGTGTAAAGTATATCAAGCAAGTTTTAATCGTAAACCTTCTTTACTCAAAAACAACAGATTTGTGATGTATATAAATGTAACAGTTTATGGGTACCATACACTACATACACAACTGTTTTCTCGGTGTCATTAATAATGCGTTTGTGTTATGATGTATATCAATGAAGCTGTTGATGATTAATGTAATCAATATGTTTCAGTGTCACACATAATACTGTTAATAATAGTTTGGAGGATGTACATCAGTCTAGCAGTAAATGTTACACAAACACATTTTCAGAGTCACATTAAACTACAGCTCTATATTGTTTATGAAGCATGTAGTTAATAATAACCCCATTTTAACAGAAAAGATGTCACTGTCACTAATAAACTATTATTTCATCCTGTGTATTATTGCAATCTTGCCGTGAATGATTAGTCAAAAAAGCTCAGACAAGTCTCAATGTCACACATGCAACTATATTTTTATAATGTGTATCAATTTAGCAGTTAAAGGGGAACTTGGTCTGCTATCCATTGTTAGTCTTGGCCTGTACATTGTAATTAGTGTCATGTGTGAGATTATGACATTGTCCCTTTGTAAATAATACTCGTTTAATGTTAGATTGAAATACATACCAAACAAACTTCGAGTGGTCAGACAAAGCGGTATTTCAGTTACTCGAATCGTACACTTTACATAAGCCTAGCTCCCGTTTAATGATTACCAAGATTGGAGAGAGAATTGTCTCTGGCGACTCTACTCCCTAATAATGATCTAGACTTTTGTAGTAAAGCAGTCAGCTGGTCACGCCAATTGCAACATTGAACATGAACGCAATAAAATATATTAACCCAACAATATATACAGCAATATGTATTAGTATGATATTATGAAGATAAGTAAAAATGACGTATATTTAATCTCAAGAAGTCTAATGTTAGCAATATGAGATTACTAGTTTCCTTCGCCTCAATTAAAGCAATAGTTAACATAACAATGAATGTTGCTGCAGTTTGATGAGTTTCACAACGATGTATGAGATTCCATGTTAGTGGCTTTGCTTTTCTCCGTTCAGAAATATTAATATGCCAACATTAAAATATCATAGTCTCCAGTTACACTTCTGAAATGGAGATCGGTGCATAATATGTAACAACGAGCGGCCTTGTGATTACATACTGAAAAGAACATATTTTTTTCAGTCAAGATTTGATTTACTGTAGTTGGTCCTGTTATAGCCTGCACAACTTGACACAACGTTCACTCACTCACCCCAGGCTATCTGCCTTAACCTATCACTGTAAACCGGAAGACCGCTTAGACGTTTCACTACGCCTCACGCCAAATTTTATAATTTTATGGGCATTAACACCCCTTGGGACGCCTTTAAAACTTCAATAATGCACTGTAAACACCAAACATTACAAAACTAACTGATCATTTACGAAAGAAAATGTTATTACCACAGTATATAAGTATAGGGACTCGTAAAGTATATTTTATGAAATGACGCCCATCTACAATTGATTTATCAGGCTATTTTATCATGAAAATTGAGAAACTTTGTTTGTCAGATACTTACCATAATTCACGACGATTGAAGGATTCGAGATACTCTTCAACTTGAGTATTGTCGCCATTTCTAAGAAGAAAACGTCTGCGAGATAGTGGGCACAGCCGCATGTGGTCCGATGTCTCGGGATACTAACTATCTGTGACGTCACACTTCTATGACGTCACAAATGTAGTGCGGCTTTTCAGCCTTTGAGAACACAATTTTCAAAGAGAATTTCATCATGGTGATGGCACTGAGTAAACTTTTGTGTTTTGTTCCATTTTAAATTACAGTCCATAATAAAATCTACACGTATTATTTTTTTAAAAACAAAATCGACTTAATCCGCGTAGTCGCGCAAATATTTTGAGGATTCTGATTGGCTATTACATAGCAATGACCTGAGGTCAAGTGGTCATTGTTTTCTTGCAAATTTTCATTGCACTTTTTTTGTTACGGTATTAAATCTTACATATCGATGAAAAGATACACTTTAACTTGTTATAACTAAAATTAGACAATATCAAAATTCTTATTTCATGTAATGTTTGTGAAATTTTGGTAGAAAGTAGTTTTAAAGATTGTTCGAAAGGAAACTACTTCAGTGGACAATGTCAGTTGACTACGCCAGCTTACCCTTCACAAAAAAAACACTGTTCTACACGAACAAAAAACGATCAAAATGCCATAAAAGGCGACTATGCTTGTCGTAAGAGGCGACTAATGGGATCGGGTGGTCAGGCTCGCTGACTTGGTTGATGCATGTCATCGATCCCAATTGCGTGGATCGGTGTTCATGATGTCAATCATTGGATTATCTGGTTCAGACTCCATTATTTACAGACCGCCGTCATATAGCTGGAATATTGCTGAGTGCGGCGTTAAACAACAAACAAACAAATGTAAATAGGGCCGAAAATTTGGGGATAGGATAATAAGGCAAGAAGTAGGCATCCCAATGTTTTCCCATCCTACAAACTGCTGATCTGTTTCTTCATGCAAATAATCGCCAGAACACTGGGAGAATTTAGCAGATTTGTGGAGGTGTTCTTAATGTTCCCAAAGTGTCACACAGAATATGCACACGCCATGTGTGAATAATACGCACTCCTTATAGTGTGTACGAAGTGTGTAGATTTTGAACACTGATTGTTCAAATTCTGTGCATTAGTGTTCCAACCTAAACACCGCTTTTCATATTTTGAACATCAATATAATTTGAACATGTAGAATGTTAAGATTTTGGACAGAAATACATGTTATGAGCAAAAGTTTTGGTGTGCAACAGATGCTCTGAGAAAATTAACGCTTGAATTTACAGTGAAGCATTCCCGTTATCGGAAGTGTCAATTCTACATATGACGTATCTGAGATTAGTAACTGTTGCTGACAATCGAACCAATATGCACGCACGGCATCAATGTAATCTGCTGACAGTGATTGACATATGTCCCAGATACCATCACCATAATAATAAGATAACAATCAGCTGACATGTTCACTCTGTATAAGAACAGGAGACGCAGCCTTCTCGCCATCACACAACAGCAGCACAGAGGAAACATCATCTCGCCCCTGTTTGTCCGTAAGTCAAAGTTATAGCTGGTTACAGACCTCTTTCACGTCATGTTAATCGTTAAGCTTGTAAAATAATTATGTTTCTAATGACCCGGCCGCCGCTTAAATTGCCTCCGAAGTAAAAATTGTTTATTTTTAAGCAAAGCTAAAAAGCGCCCTTTTCAATTCAAATTTTATTTTGAAAGTTTGGCACGCGCCATGTCCGATTTGCAAGGGAACGTATAGCCAGAGATTTGCTGGGCCCTTTTCAATTCAAATTTTATTTTGAAAGTTTGGCACGCGCCATGTCCGATTTGCAAGGGAACGTATAGCCAAAGATTTGCTGGGTCCGTGGCCAAAAACGATCACGTGGTACTTCAGAGTCTTGTTTGCTTTTATAGATGTTTACCTACAAAAAATATAAATTTAAATGATAAACATCAGTTTTGAAAAAAGTCAGAAGAATTCTTTTAAAGAAATGGCCTTATATCATCATCTTTGAATATAGATCGACTTTTCGTCACAATCTTAACCTGTGGTACATGCTCATTGTCAGATATCTGCATTCTACGATGACTGGGAAACTTTACGTTGTGATGATGCTGGTTCTACTAGTTGCTGGCGCAAACGCTCAATGGGGCACGGTATGTAACCACTGGTATATTTGTATAGTAGTTATATAACTTGATATATTCCTTACATCAAATATGATTCCCGAAAACAGCAAGGAAAAACTGGATATGAACTATTCTGTTATTTCAAACTCACGTTGCATGCTACTCTCCACAGTGCACCCAGGCCGGAGGGCGATGCAGCAATGTCCCCGGGGGTAACCCACAGATCGGATGCTGTCGGGGCCTCATGTGCAAGATGGTCTCCATCAACTACAGCACGTGTCAGTACGTTACAGGGCGACGTTGATAACACTACATCCACTGTAATAAACTACTAAACACTTTGATATTGTTTGTTTTAAGTCAGCATCGTTACAAATTGACACTTGTCCTATAAGTCCTTGCCAAAGTACCCAACTAGTAGACGATAACAGTTTCTGTCGCTGAGTCTGTGAAAAAGAATGCTTTGTACTTCATGTGGTAAGCCCGTAATTCAATGCATTGTAGGTGCATATCGTATCACGATTCTCTCATGCATTACCGTGCGATGGCTGGCTTAAGAAACTGCGGGTAAAGGTATACGCTTTAAAATTGGATTTGACAAAAAAAAATTGAAAACGTTATCAAAACGTTACGAGGCTGAAAACAATCGCCTAAACACTACAAACTTAAGGTCCAGAACACAACTATGATATCCGTGTCAAATACATTACCATCGAATAATCAGTTCTTGTTTGTGTCATATAAAGCCACCATGCATCAAACATGGGTGTATACTTGCCCGGCAGGTTTTAGATTACCTCAATTCGCTGTGAAAAACACAAACCCCAGAAACATATTATTGTGAGGTTGAATCCCGTTTCGCATCGATTATGTTTTTAGGTTTGTCAGCACCATACCATAGGATGGCCCAGTCGTCTGAGGCGCCACAATTCGCTGTGCAAAGTTGCGTCAATTTGACACCCCAGAATCCTATGATTGTGGGTTCGAATACCGGTTCGCCCCAATTATGTTTCTAGGTTTGTCAGCACCATGTCCGTGCCAGTGTGTTTCACCGAAGTGGTAAACGTCTGAGACCTGCATCACTTCGGGCTTTCCTCCCACATTAAACTGACATGCCGTGATATAACTGGAATACTGTTAAAAGCGGCGTTAAACCCAACTCACTCACTCATGTACGTGTACACAAAGGATGATAGAGTTAGATCATGAAGTCTTTTTTTATTTCTTTGTTTTGTTTACTGAAGTCGGGATCCCATGTCTATATATTATATAAACTGGCGGGCAAAAGAAAATATACACTTGAAAATTGGATTTGACCCAAAAATTACAAACGTTATCAAAACGTTACAAAAACCTCATGGTTTATTCCCCAAGATTTTTTTTTTATTGTACGATAAACAACGACCACTGGGTTTTTTTCTTGAGGCGATGGGGCAGCCTAGTGGTTAAAGTGTTCACTCGTCACGCCGAAGACCCGGGTTCATTTCCCCACATGGGTACAATGTGTGAAACCCATTTCTGGTGTCCCCCGCCGTGAAATTGCTGGAATATTGCTGAAAGCGACGTAAAACCATACTCGCTCGCTCATTTTAGTCAGCAGAACTATTGACTCGTATAAATCCACATACTTATAAAGGGGGCGGTCGGGTAGCCTAGTGGTTAAAGCGTTCGCTCGTCACGCCGAAGACACGGGTTCGATTACCGACATGAGTACAATGTGTGAAGCCCATTTCTGGTGTCCCCCGCCGTGCTATTGCTGGAATGTTGCTAACAGCTGCGTAAAACCATACTCGCTCACTCACATACTTGTATAATGATTGATTGATTAGTAAAATGTTTTATAGGTGTTCGGGCAACTAGGCCCATTTACACCCTGCCCATAATAAAGGTTTGCTAAGTACCTGGATATTTTATAAGTATCAAAACTGCCACACGCTTTAATATAAGCGAGAATGACATTCTGAACATCATGGTGAACAATATTCCTAGAACGGAAAATACCAGACAATGAGAAGTCAATATTGAGAACTGTTAGTGCCTCCACCATTGCCTTACGCTGATTAACATACTTTTGGCAATGCAATAGACTGCACTTTCTAATCTTTGCAAATAGATCGACCCATTCCTCTCCACCCTCAACACAATGACGTCACACAAAGTGTCACTGACGTCATAGATTTATGTGTATTCTGGGGTGCGTTGCAAAGCGCCAATCGCTTGTAAGCGATGTACAGCGATTCGCCTCACAACAGTGCGCTAACTTTCAGCCGCTTGCAAGCGAAACAATCGCTGGCTGAGGTCGCTTCGTTGTCAAACCAAAATGGCTGCTGACTTTGACAGCGGAAGAATTCTTGACTGGATCAACGAGGAAATGAGCAAAGGCAGCTGACACCCCATCATCCTCAGTCTGCTCCACATTTTCAAAGTAGTCATAAATTTCATCAGCTCGTCATCGAGCCTCTTCTATTATGATCTTCAAAAAGGTCAAGGCAATCAAGCGGTAGTTGCGCCGCCATTTTGGAAGAGTGCGCAAGCGCTTCCAACTGTTGCAGACCCCGGGATGAGCGATTGATTTGCTTTCTCTTAGCGATTCGTGGCTTGTTCTCAAAGCTGTCGGTGATCACGTTAACCCTCTTGGTGCCACTGTTTACTGTCTACACCTCCTTGGCAACTAGTCCACCCCGTTGTAGACCTCACACTTACTTATTTTAAAAAATCAGACACAAATCCGTTAGTCTTTCAGCCAGAATATATCCAGTTGAGATCAAAGTACGATTCTCACCGCTCCATTTTCACTGATGGATCCAAGGATGGTGGCAAAGTTGCCAGTGCTACCATCGTTGGATCAAAAACTATTTCTTCCAGATTACCAAACAATTGTTCTATCTTTACTGCTGAGGCCAAGGCTATTCAAACGGCTTTGGAAGATATTCAGACACAAAATATCTGCAAAAACTTCATCATCCTCTCTGATTCTTTGTCATGCCTACAGGCATTACAAAATGTCCGCTCAAATCATTCACTCACTCTTGATATTTTAGAATTACACAATACTCTTGCCACTGGCCAATACGACATCGTCTATTGCTGGTTACCCAGTCATGCTGGAATCACGGGTAACACTATGCGGCTGATGCTGCAGCAAAAGCAGCTCGATCTCAACAAATCTGTGACCCCACTTCTTATACCATACAGCGACTACAAACCTTTAATTAGATGCCATATCAAAGTCCTTATGCAAAAGAAGTGGGACACCCAAGTAGGTACAAATAAAGTACATGCAATAAAACCAAATATCGGTTACACCTACTTAGGTTGTCAGTCCAGATTTGAGGTCATTTTACGACGATGTCGTATTGGCCATAGTAGATATACTAATGAATATTTATTAAAAGGTGAGGATCCTCCGTTTTGTATCCCTTGTGATGAGATAATCACAGTCAAGCATGTCCTGCTTGACTGTATTGATTTTTCCATCACAAGGCATAAATATTTTACTGTCAAAACAGTGAAGGACCTTTTTAGCAATGTTAATTCACATTTAATCAT